CAACCTCCTGTCAGGGAGTTGCAGAGGGTGAGAAGGTCTCCCCTGAGCCTCCTCTTCTCCAGGCTGAACACCCCCAGCTCCCTCAGCCTCTCTCATGGCACTTGTGCTCCAGTCCCTTCACCAGCCTCGTTGCTCTTCTCTGGACCTGCTCCAGCACCTCAATGTCCCTCCTGACCTGAGCACAGGATTCAAGGTGTGGCCTCACCAGTGCTGAGTACCACAGCTGTCTTGAGAGTAAAGGCAGCATCATTTAATCTACAGTCCTGGCTCCCTGTCATGCAGAAGCTTTCCTAAGTCGGAGGATACAGGATTAAGCAAACTGCAGGTGTGGCCTCACCAGTGCTGAGTACCACAGCTGTCTTGAGAGTAAAGGCAGCATCATTTAATCTACAGTCCTGGCTCCCTGTCATGCAGAAGCTTTCCTAAGTCGGAGGATACAGGATTAAGCAAACTGCTCTATTGCTTTTCTCCTTTTTTTTTTTTCCATTCTATTAGAAAATTTAATCTACAGTCCTGGCTCCCTGTCATGCAGAAGCTTTCCTAAGTCGGAGGATACAGGATTAAGCAAACTGCTCTATTGCTTTTCTCCTTTTTTTTTTTTCCATTCTTCTCAATTAGAAAATTATCAAGAGATGGATTTTCTCTTGATTTAAGACTATTTTAGATCAGTTTTATTTATAACCTTCAAAAAGGAAGAAGTTTGAAGGAAGTATTCAGACATCCTGCCTTTTTCTTTACTGGAAGAACACAGCCTACCAGAGTCAGAGTACTGTGCACTAACACAGGCAGGCCCAGAGAGTTGTGGTGAATGGAGCTAAATCCAGGTGGTGGCTGGTCACTAGTGATTGCTTTGGAAAGGAGATAAGAAGATGAAGAAATGCTTGTCAAATATTCTGTCTATGTCAGTAGAAAATACTACGGTGGGATTTGATAGTAGTTTGGATTGAACAGTATCATTTTTTCCCTCCATTATAGGAACACCATAAAAGATCAATTCCAAAAGATACTTGGAATCTTTTGTTAGACTTTGGAAATATGATTGCAGATGATATGTCCAACTATGATGAAGAAGGTAAGCAGTACCAGAATTGGACCAGCAGAATTAAAGTGTTGCTATAAATGACCAAGAGAACATGCTGCTATCTCCTGTCTGATTTGTTTAGCCTCAGAATTTCAGCTGCAAATATATAGTGTCATACTCACTGCCAAAAGAGTAATGATAAGAAAGTTCACTAGTTTGGTGTACTGTGTAAGTAGAAGTAAAGATGGATGGATGGATGGGTGGATGGATGGATGGATGGATAGATAGATGGATAGATGGATAGGTGGGTAGGTAGATGGATGGATGGATACATAGATGGGTGGATGGATGGGTAGATAGATAGTTGGATGGATAGATAGATGTGTAGATGAGTGGATGGATGGGTGGGCAGGTAGATGGATGGGTAGATGAGTAGATAGATCGAGCATATTGTTTGAACATGAACCTAAAAGCAGTTTACAGTCTGTTAGTCATCCTAGTTTGGAATGACTTTGTACAGGACCTGTATGAATGAGCCATGTATGAATGGCTCTACTAAGAATGCCATGGTTTTGGTATCAACTCATGTTCATGTTTGTAGTGTGCATTTTTATACCTTAAATACATTGGGTTTGTCCTAAGAGCTGTGGCTGCAAGAAGAGATTCAAGTGTTGAATTTATTAGTTAGGTGCTTTTTTCTTCCAAGTGTTTTATCATGTCGTGTGTGTGAAAGGCATGTCCAAGTGAGCTTCTGATCCTTTGGATTTAAAGACTACACCAGTCTCTTGCTGATAATGTTACTGCTTGACTTTGCAGGAGCTTGGCCTGTTCTAATAGATGACTTTGTGGAATATGCACGACCAGTAGTCACAGGTGGAAAACGTAAAACTTCCTAACCCAGACTTGTCAATATGGACTCAATATGCTCTCTGAACTGCATTGGGCAATGAAGGTGTGTTCACTGATTACTCTGCACACTGTTGCTGGTTTCAGTGGTCATGATGAGATTCTGCAGACAACACTGAACTCCTTCCTTTCTGCCTCAAGAAAACGATGGATGACTTGAGGGCACTTCAAGAACAAACTTCAGAGGATAGTCCAGGCTGTTTGTAGGCTATTGGCTTCAACTATTGTACTGGTTGTATCATATAGGATGTAGATTTTTGCATGATTTTATACTTTGGAGAAGTTTAGAGGCCATTTGATTAAAAGTTTTGACAGCACAGCATGCCATTGAGTTCATGATCCAAGGCGAACACCAGCAGCTCCATCAATAAACCTGTATTATATTGTACTTATATTAAAAGCAGTATTTGTGGTATATAAATTAAATCCCTCAATAAAACTTATGCAGTATGTTGTATTTTTATAAAAGCTAGTTCTGTGGATCTAATATAGATCTCATATATGTCCTGATACAGAATTGTAGCAAAAAAAACCCACTTAAGTTTGTATTTCGAAGTCCTAGATGTATAGATTGATTCCATCCAGCCTTTTGCTTTCTCCCAATGAGATTTACTTCCTCACTGTTCTCCTTGAAGTAATGTCACGTTAGCATTGCTGCTCTTTGCTATGTTGCAGCTCCAGCTTGTTTTGTTAACCATTTTCAAATAGGCATTAAACAACCAAAGATGTTTTATAATTCATGTTGGATTACATAATTCAGTTACTCTAAGGGTGGTGAGACACTGACACAGGTTGCCCAGGGAGGCTGTGGCTGCCCCAGCCCTGGCAGTGTTCACAGCCAGGTTGGCTGAAGCCTTGAGCAACCTGGTGTGGTGGGAAATGTCCTTGCCCATGGCAGGAGGTTGGGACTAGATGATCTCTAAGGTCCATTCCAACCCTTAAATTCTAAAATTCTATGTTCTGTTTATTTTTAACAACGTTCTGGTGGAATATGGATTTATTTTTGTAGCTTGAGACATAGGATAAATTCCAGCTGAATGCAACAAGAGTTATAAATGCAATTCATGACACTTCTCACAGAAAACAGATGTGACTAAGCCCAAAGACTTAACTAGTTGGAGAAATGTTGGTAAGGAGACTTTATATTAATAATATTAAGTATTCATGCCTCTGGCTCTATTATGCATTCAGTTTTATTTATTTAAGGGTGGGAAAAAGAGTAAATTAATGCAGCATCAATGATCTTGACGTTGGTGAGTTGGACCAGTTTGCACCAAATCTGAATTTGTTGAGTCATTTCATAGAATCATAGGATCAACCAGGTTGGAAAAGACCTCCAAGATCATCAAGTCCAACCCTACCATGGTTACTAGACCATGGCACTAAGTGCCACATCCAGTCTCAGCTTCAAAACCTCCAGGGATGGTGAATCCACCACCTCCCTGGGCAGCACATTCCAATGCCTGAGCACTCTCTCCAGAAAAAATCTCTTCCTCATATCCCACCTAACCCTCCCCTGGCAGAGCTTGAGTCTGTGCCCTCTTGTCCTGCTGCTGGTTGCCTGGGAGAAGAGACCAACTCCCACCTGACTCCAACCTCCTGCCAGGGAGTTGCAGAGGGTGAGAAGGTCTCCCCTGAGCCTCCTCTTCTCCAGGCTGAACACCCCCAGCTCCCTCAGCCTTTCCTCATTTATTTCTGCCCTTTTACCAGGCATTGATTATAAATGGTACAGGGCTCAGTCTCCTCTTTCTCAGCAGTGTCTTCCAATGTTTTAAGCACAAAAATGTTGTAACAGAAAGTATTCAGCACCTCTTCCCACAGGGCTCTTTTCAATGCTACCTCAGCAAAATGAGTTTGTCATTGCCACTGCAGAAGTTTTTTAGCATGAAGAGTTGCTGAAGAGTAGGATCAATATATTTTCTGTAACCAGAGCTGAATAGATGCAAGTTTGGGAAAAAATAGTGCACTGAAGTCTATAAATTATATCTGGATCACAGATCATTCAAGTATTGCATGGCAGTTTTATTTTGTAGCTGTAAGGGTATAAAAGCTTAGAATATGCTCTTCAACTCTAATATTTAGAGGTTTAGATAAGCAAAAAGCTTTCATTTATGTCCATGCTGTCTGCAAGGACAAATGGACATGCTGCATGCAGAGAGAGATTGCCTTGATTCATTGCGACGGGTACAAATTGAGAGAAGGGAAATTTAGGTCAGATACTAGGCAGAAGCTTTTTCCTGTGAGGGTGTTGAGACACTGGCCCAGGTTGCCCAGGGAGGCTGTGGCTGCCCCAACCCTGGCAGTGTTCACAGCCAGGTTGGATGAGCCTTGAGCAACCTGGTGTGGTGGGAGGTGTCCCTGCCCAGGGCAGGGGGTTGGGACTGGATGATCTCTGAGGACCATTCCAACCCCTAAAATTGTATGATTCTCCCATTTGAGAGAATATCAGTTGTTCATGGTGTTTAAAAAAGCAGAATTAGGGCAAGTTTGAACAAATAGGCAAATTTTCTCTTTATAGGACTATAGCAAGCAAGTTGCAAATGCCCTGAGAGTGATACTATTATTATGTATTATTACTGTTGTTGTTGTTGTTATCATTATGAGTCTTCTCTGCCCTCAGCAGCATTTCTGTGTCAGCCCTGCCTGGGCAGCCACCAGATGTCAGCATCTCAGCCATCTCTGCCTGGGTCTTCTGCGTGGAGCTAAACCAAATTACTCCTGTCTGACCACATCACTTTTAGAAGGACATTTGTGTCTGTAAGTCCAGCTATTCTACAGACATCAACAGAGCTCTAAAAGTAGGATTATGCTTTTATTAATGCATTTGTTTTACCTCCTCCTTCTTCCCCAAAACAAGCTGTTTCTACATCAGTCCTGTAGGGTTTGGAGAATGTGTAACACAACATCAAGTGCATTTATCTAGCCAAAAAAAGCAGTGCAATGTTTGTTACTCACACAATTGCTACTTCAAATAGATAGCTGTAACTGCACAGAAGTAGCTTCATCTATTGGTCTGTGATGTAGCTGAAGTTTCATAGCTCTAGAGCTTGTGAAACACTTGTTCATGCTCAGAGCTCCTTCAGACCAGCCTGATTGAACCTTCTGCCTTTTGAAAGAAGTAGGGCATAAAAAAATGCATGTGGCTTGAGGGTTTTTTGCCTTGTTAGTCTCAGTAGGAAGGAAGGTGCTTAGCACAGTGCTCAGTTTCTCTAGAGACTCATTTAGTCTTAAGCCTCATTCTTGTGAGGATCCTGCGTGGGAATCACCTTCCAACAGAGGAGGGCTGAGAAAAATACTCTCAAGATAGGAGTTGCTTTTCCTTTTTCTTTTGTTCTTCCTGGTTTTCTACCCATTTAAAACCACTTTTTTACATTCCCATACATAATAGAATAGAGTAAAACCTTCACACTTGGACAATCATTAAAAAATGCCAATAAACTCCTTTCAAATTACAAGTTCCTTATGTATGTTAATGTTTTGCTGCTGTCCACAGCTCCACTTTCCAGGGGCTTTCTGTCTTGCTTTTCAAGTAAGCTGATCCAGTGGTAGCACCTAGGCTGCTCAATTTATAATCCTAAATGGTCCAGATGTCTTCAAGTTGTTCAGTGCATACAGTATTACTTCACAGATATGCTGTGTGTATTTTTAAACTTGGTGCCAAGTTGTTTAGTTTTTTACATCCTAGAGGGTTTGAAACTGAGCCACAGGCTTTGTACTTGCCAGTTCTAAATTTAAATGTCATTTATCATGTATGTCATGCCGAGGAGAGCAAACCTGCAGTGCACCTGGGAGGTTTTGCTGCTGAGTAAGCTGGATGTGTGTGAATTTTTGTGGCAATGGAAAAAGGAATAAAGGGACTGCCGACATAAAGGGTTGAAGTCAGTCATGAGAGACTTCTGTATGGTTTTTCTCGGCTTTCTGCTTTGGAAATCTTGCAAAGGCCAGTGAGATTTTGGGGTTTCTGGTTCATTTATTAGATTCTTGCATTGTTATTCCCTCAGCCAGAAAAGGACAAGGATGTAACTCATTCATTTTTCAAGCAGTCATAATAAATGGGCCCAGTTCTCTTTGATATCTTTG